GAGCAGTCCGGGGCTTCCAGTACAGGGACTTCGATAACACGAATCCCCTACTTTTGATGGGACTAAGGACCCCATCAAGGTCATGAGGTGGATCTCTGATGTAGAGGGGTGCTTTTTCACTTGTTTATGCCCTATTGACCAGAAGGTCAAGTGTGCCCTGATCCTGCTAAGGTTTGGGGCCAAGGATTGGTGGAGATTGATGATTGGGTTGTACACTGATGACCAGAGAGATGTTGTTACTTGGGAGCAGTTCAGAGATGTGTTCCGAGCTCGTTATGTTCCTCAGGTCTAGGGAGAACGATTGGCTCAGGAGTTTTTGAGTTTGAGGCAGGATGGAGAATCGGTGATGGAGATCACCCGCATGTTTACTGAGAGGGCGATGTTCTGCATGTATTTCGCTTCCGAGCAGGCTCAGATGACTCGTTATCTGAGCATGCTCAAGACCGATATCTGACAGTTTGTGTCTACCCAGCGATGTGGTCCTCTTCTCGAGTTACAAGAGACCGCGAGGCGGCGTAGGTTGGAGATCGAGCTACAACTGAAGGAGCAACGGAAGGCCCCGACACAATTCCAGCTGATGTCGAAGTGGTCTAAGACCGCCAATACCAGGATTAAAGGACAGCCAGGCCACACTTGTGGAAAGTGAGGAAAGGTTCATTCAGGGGTGTGTCGATCAGGGAGTGGGTGCCACCGATGTGGAAAACATGGCCATTTAGCCATGGATTGCATACAACAGACACCAACTTCGGGAGTTAAGCTTTGTTATCATTGTTAGCAGGTGGGCCATATGAAGGCCTATTGTCCATTGTTTTCTGCCAAGCCGACGCAGACTTCGACACCGGAAACTTTGAGGATCGCAGATGGGAGGCCAGTGAAGGCGGAGCCTCCGAAGGCTCAGGGCCGTGCATTTCAGCTTACGGCTGTGGAGGCCAAGGCAATACCGGATGTGGTTGCTGGTATGTTTCTATCCTTTGCCTTATTTATCATGCCTGTATTATGCTTATTTGTTGTACCTGTGTTAGGTACATTCTTAGTAAATTCATTGCCCGCTTTGGTTCTTTTTGACTTGGGAGTGAGTCGGTCTTTCATATCCCAGGCTTTTAGTAGGGAGTTTAGTGCTCCAGTAGGCGAGCTGGAGTGTCCGTTACGAGTCTCTATCACCAATGAACACAGGGTTTCTGCTTCTTTAGTTTTTCGAGGATGTAAGATGGAGATCTTCGGAGTGTCCTTCTTGATATATTTGATTCCGATTCCCATGAGGGAAGTATGTGTGATCGTGGGGATGGACTGGCTTAGTCGTTTTGGTACCATGATAGATTGCGAGGGCTAGAGGGTGGTAGTTCGAACCCCAAGTGGGGGAGAACTGATTGTATATGGGGAAGGTACTAGGGTGGGTTCGAGATTCTATTTAGCTGCTAGGGCTCGGTAGTATATTCAACACCGGTGTGCGGGTTTTCTAGCATATGTGGTGGATACGCGAGCCAGGGATCAGGTTTTAATTTCCGAGGTTCCAGTAGTCAGGGAGTTTGCAGACGTGTTTCTAGAGGAGTTTCCAGGAATACCTCCAGAGAGGCAGGTCGAGTTTAGGATCGACCTGGTGCCTGGTGCGGCCCCTATCACCAAGGCACCGTAACGGTTGGCACCGCCTGTGATGCAAGAGCTGTTGTCACAGCTGCAGGAACTGCTAGGCAAGCAGTTCATTCGACCTAGCAGTTCTCCATGGGGAGCACCGATTCATGTTGTCAGGAAGAAGGACGGATCGCACCGGATGTGCATTGACTAGAGAGAGTTTAACAAGTTGACGGTAATGAACCGTTATCCACTTCCGAGGATAGACAACCTCTTTGATCAGCTGCAGGATGCATCTTGGTTCTCCAAGATTGACTTGAGGTCGGGGTATCATCAGGTCCGGGTTAGAGATGAGGATGTGGATAAGATTGTGTTTCGAACTCGTTATGGTCATTATGAGTTCGTGGTGATGCCGTTTGGGCTCACCAATGCACCGGCTGTGTAGTGGATCTGATGAATCGGGTCTGCATACTGATGCTTGACCTATCAGTCATAGTGTTTATAGATGATATTTTGGTGTATTTCAAGACCAGAGAGTAGCACGAGGAGCACCTCTGGGAATTGTTGAAAGTTTTGAGACGCGAATGGTTGTATGCCAAGTTTTCGAAGTGTGAGTTTTGGTTATGAGAGGTCCAGTTCCCCAGACATCTTATTAACCAGGAGGGGATTTTGGTCGATCTGGCTAAAATCGAGGCAGTTATGCAGTGGGAGGTTCCGAGGTCCCCTTCGGATATTAGGAGTTTTCTGGGGTTAGCTGGGTACTACTGGAGATTCATTCGAGACTTCTCTAAGATTGCAGTAGCCCTCACTCGTCTGATGAGGAAAGGGGTGGATTTCCTGGTGGGATCCTGAGCAGCAGAGGGTGTTTGAGACCTTTCGGCGGTGTTTTTGCGAGGCTCAAGTTTTGACGCTCTCCATGGGAGTTGTGGATTTTGTTGTATTCTGTGATGCGTCCATCACAGGGTTGGGTGTGGTCCTCATGCAGAGAGGATGAGTGATAGCTTATGCATCGCGGCAGCTGAAGCCGTATGAGATGAGATACCCTACACATGATCTGGAGTTGGGAGCGGTGGTTTTCTCTCTCAAAATTTGGAGGCATTACCTGTATGGGGTCCGTTGTACCACATATACGGACCACAAGAGCTTGAGACACATCATGGACCATCCGAATATGAATATGAGGCAGCGCAGGTGGCTGGATGTAATTAAGGACTATGATTGCGAGATCCTTTACCACCCCGTTAAAGACGATGTGGTTATAGATGCCTTGAGCCGCAAGTCACTTAGGTCTTCCACCCCAGCAACATGTATGAGGATAGTGGTGGATTCTCCGCTTGTGGGATTGATCAAAGAAGCCCAGGTTGAGGGCATGCGACCAGAGAACTAGAAGATGGAAAGGATAAAGGGCGAGAACGCCCAGTTTGTGAAATATAGTCAGGTATTATTGACCCGATGCGGTCAGGTTTGGGTTTCGATGTCTGGTGGGATCAGACAGACAGTTATGGAGGAGGCTCATAAGTCTCATTTCTCTATACACCCGGGGGCCACCAAGATGTACCGAGACCTGAGTTTGAGGTATTGGTGGCCGTGTATGAAGCGAGAGATCGCTTGGTATGTCGATAGGTGCTTGACCTGTAGGATGGTCAAGGCTGAGCACCAGAGACCGCATGGTTTGCTGCAGCCTCTCGAGATTCCCATGTGGAGATGGGAGCAGATCACGATGGATTTCATTACCAAACTACCAAAGATGGCGAAGGGGTTTGATGCCATATGGGTCATTGTAGATCGACTAACCAAGAGTGCCCATTTCTTGGCAATACGGGAGAGTTCTTCAGCCGAAAAGCTGGACGACTTGTATGTTCGTGAGGTCATCGCTCGCCATAAGGTTCCGGTCTCCATTGTTTCAGAGCAAGATGTTAGATTTACCTCCCGTTTCTAGCAGACGTTCCATGAGGAACTGGGCACACAACTACACTTTAGCACATCATTTCATACGCAGACCAATGGTCAGAGCGAGCAGACCATCCAAAACCTTGAGGATATGTTGAGGGTATGCGTCATTTATTTCGGAGGGAGCTGGGCTTCCAACCTACCTCTCGCGGAGTTCGCCTACAACAACATCTATCATTCTAGCATTGACGCCCCGCCTTTCGAGCTGTTGTATGGGCGGAGATGTCGCACTCCATTTTGTTGAGGCGAGGTCGGACACATGGTAATGGGGAGGACGGAGGTAGTATTGCAAACTACCGAGAGAATCCGGTAGATTAGGCAGCAATTGCAGGCTGCCCAAAGTCGACTGAAGAGTTACGCCGGCATATGTCGTTCTGAGTTAGAATTTCAAGTGGGTGATATAGTGCTCATGAAGGTCTCACCCTGGAAGGGTGTTATCCGCTTCATGAAGAGAGGGAAATTGGGTCACTGTTACATTGGGCTGTTCAAGATCATTGCCAAGGTCGGCAAGGTGGCTTACAGGTTAGAGCTACCGGAGGAGCTCAATCGGGTTCATAGCACTTTCCACATCTCGCAGCTGTGAAAGTGCATCATGGATCAAGAGGCGGTGGTGTCATTCGATGATATCCAGGTTGATGAACGCTTAAATTATGTGGAGAGGCCGGTGGCCATTCTAGAAAGGAAGAGGAAAGTACTGCGGAACAAGGAGATACCATTGGTGAAAGTGCAGTGGGAGCATCGGAGAGGATCCGACTGGACGTGGGAGCCGCAGGCTGAGATGCGGGAGCATTACCCGACATTGTTTGTCTCGACGAACTTCGAGGATGAAGTCTAGTTCAAGTGGGGGAGAGTTGTAATGCCCCGATCTTCAGGTAATTGAATTACATGAGAACTTTCTTGATTTCAAGGTCTACTCGACGAGTTGGTAGCCCTACTCATCGAGTAGAAGCGGATTGGCTCGCGTGTTTAGTGATCTACTCAATGAGTCCAAATAGGGACTCGACGAGTAGGAGCTGGCAGACGGAACCCTAAATCCTGGGGTTTTGGCACCCTATTTAAGGGTCACATATTCCCCTTAGCCTCTCTCACTGCCTCTCTTGAATCTAAACATTGCTAGTAGGAGCTGGCAGATGGAACCCTAAATCGAAGTTGTATGTTGAACTTTAAACATTGCTAGTTGTTCATGAAAAGCAGTGAGTGAGAAGCTCTAATATATTCAATCAAAGTTCTTGTAGCAGCAAGAAGAACAACAACACTCTTTTGAATAGATGTACTAAACTTATCAATCTTCGTAACACTGTTTGAAGCCAATTTGAAAAATTCTTGAAAATTTTACTCGATGGACACTTTGGAAGTTATTACTACCTCCTCGAGCATTTGATGTCTTTCTTTGGCAACATTTTGATCGTCAGAAAGATGAATCATGTAAGAAGATAAGTTCCCTTCGGTTTTTAACTCAAGATTAGTAACAAAAGAGTTTACTAAAAGCTTCGTCTTGGAATCTTAAGATTCAGCAAAAGTTCAACATCGTCTTTGCTTACAGAAGAAGACAAACCAACAATATCATTTATAAATTGCAAAATAGTGTCGAGCTTCAAATTAAGTATCTTATACTGCATCCCAAACATAATAGCTTGATCTTCAACATTTTCTTCCTTAGAATCAAACTTTATACCAAATAAATCAACTCGCTCTTCCTCTTCATCATTCATCTTAGGTTCTATGGATTGAGAAGAGAAAAAAGTAGTGATAGTTTGTTGTAAGATACCTGAAAAAGTTTGTGAATTGAGAGGAATTATGGTAGTAGGAATGGTCAAAGTGATCAATGGTGATTTGTTGGTGGTGGAACTATCAAATAATCCTTCATAAAAGTCTCACCCATATTGACATTTGAGTCCTTATTAGATAAGTTCCCCGGGATGTCTGAAGACCTATCCTCCCCCATATTGGATTTGGTAGTAGGACCTTCGGGTGGTATAGCTGGGTTCAACTTATAATCTGTAAATGAAGCTTCTTCACGGTTTATGATGTTTATGTCCACATTATATGTGTTCATAGTGACATCCAGGTTGCTTGTTTCCTTGACATTCGATTTAACAGAGGCATCCCTTCATGGTGAAACAGATGGATTATCTTTGAGCATTTTATCATCATCCTCTGCATTCCCTTATCTGTCATACATTGAAGTTAGATCTGGTTCTTTAACTGGTGTTCAAATAGGTGCTTGAACTTTGGTATTGGTTTCTTCATCTCCAGTCTCAACAACAAGTTTGTCTTCATCAATAACAGATTTCTTAGGTTTCTTTGCTTTAGGCTTTGATTATTTCTTTTTCCATTTGGTTTTCAACACCCCCAACAAATTTTCTTTTCTTCTGTTAAATGACACTAGATGGTTACTGAATCAAAACTCCCTTAGACTATGATGCAAAAGGCTTAGGAATGGAACCTTGAGGAGCACCACCCATGGTTTTCTTATATTGAATCAATACATGATTCATCATAGAAACCAAGATAAGCATAGCTTCAGGAATATTTCCAACGAATGGAAACTCAACTGAATCATCGGTAACATTCACTGGAATTTGCAAATGGGAAAACTGAGCAACTTTAACCCTATTAAGAACTGGAGTTCCTGCTTGATTATGGGCTTCTTTTAAAATCAAACTCCAAAAACGAGCACCGGAAATCTCATATGACTTCTTTGAATGCTTAACATATGTAGTGAATTCGTCCCATTTCAACGAAGTATAGTCTAGCTTCAACCTATAGTACAATCCAACCATAACTGAATATAATTGAATTTTAGCTTTATTGAGCCCATAACTTCTCCCCGTCAAGCATCAAAGAGTAACACCAAAGAAAGAACACCACATAATTGGTAGACTCGAATTCTTGAAACTACTAATAACAAAAATAGGAGCATTGTACCCCATTTATTTCATCATTTAAAGCACCTGATCGGAAGATGGAACTTCAAACGGACCTTCATACGATAATTGAAGAATCCGTGTAAACTGCTTCTTCATCAATTTCTTCGTTCCTTTTGATTCCATCTGAGACGTAACAATATTAACATACTTGTTATAAATTTTCATTAAACAAGAAAGAGACAACCACTGCATAGGTATAGAAAATGAAGACCATAGTGCAAGAGCAAGAACATAATCATTCAAACGTTGAACCATCATCTTCAGTTCTTCAAGATATGCAGATAATGATGGATTAAACCAAATGTTTTCTTTGACTATATTCTCATCCGTGGAATAGAAGCGCATTCATCAGTTTTGTTAAACTGATCAACCGTTTCTTTAACACTAGACATGATGATCAAGAGGTTTGCAAAAAATTTGTAGAGGGAATTTTAGGGTTAGGGCTCTTGAGAGAATCCAGGAATGCAGAAAAAACGAAGTTCAACTGTCAAAATCACTTTTATAAATGGTGTGAAGTTTGAATTTGAATCAATAACCAACTAGAACTTGCCATGTGCAAAGTAACTTATTGAATCAAAATCATCTCTAGCCACCACATGTAGAGGTAATAAGTGAATACCTCAAGAAAATATAAAGCAATAGTAGTAGTATGTTATCACACAATGGTTACTTTTTTGTACACTCAATATCGAACATTAACTATGTGAAGCATCGAACATTTGCAAAACTTCGATAGTAACCATGAATCAATCTTTGATAGTTAAGGATAGGTGTCATTCACTTATAGGTATTGTAAGTGAAATCATAAACCAGACTTTGCGAAATCTTGGTATGAGTTGGTAATACCCAAAACCTCGAGGATCTTAGTGCAATGTGTACCAAAGAAAAAGATATAAGCAAAGATAAGAAAACTTTGGATAAGTCGTGATATCAAAGAAACTTTGATATGAAAATAGTTAGATCTCGGGCAAAGATTCACTTCCTTCAACATCAAGAGAGATATCAAAGTGCTTGTAAGGTTTTCCGTGAAGTACAATCGATTACTTGTAAAGAAATATCGAAGGGCCTCTTTTTGGTCAGTAACAAAGGTAGGATTTATTTGCAAACATGTTCGTAACTTAACATAAGAGCGAAACAATTTAAGAAAACAATTGAGTGATTAGTGTAATCAATATCAAGTAAGCTTTGGTGATATTTTTAAGTGACTAAAGGAATAGAAAAATGTTAAAACATAAGTCTCATTTCATAAAAAATAAATAGTTGGATCTAATTTGGTAGAAATGATTTTGGATTAGTCAATTTCATTAAGATCACACAAAAGATCACTGTCAATTCATTTGAAATGTTTTGTTTTGTAGGTCTCACTATCATCATGGTCAAAATGATTTCAAGATCAACACAGAGTTTTGGCACACCTACATCTTAGTTGTTTCTGACTAGAGATGTCTTAGGATGTACGTCATTGTGTGTGCGAAGTGTAAGAATCATTAAATGAGAAGATAGAAACGAGTCTTTAACAAACTTATAGTGACAATAAGTATGCTCATTAAGACAATTTCTGAATAACCATAATTCTAAGATCGTTTAGAACTGGAATGTCAAGGGTTAAACAAAAACCATGTCTTGTTTAGAAAAGGAACCCTGTGTTTAGGTTTGTATATACCCAAGACGTCATTTGTTTCCAAGATTGGTAAAAGAATCATAGTACCTCTGCTATAAAATAGTGACCAAACAGTTATCTCTAAACCCAAAATAAATGAAGAAAGGTAGATCGATGACTTTTGTTAATATAGCCGTGTTGGGAAAAAATTCTTAGAATAAGAAATTTCATTAAAGCTTCGCAAACAAAGAGTCTATGTGGTGGAGGACAACATGTTGTAACATGCTTCTAGGGATGCCTAACTAGTTAATTGGTATCGAAGAATACCTGATCCCTTTGAACTTTGATAGTGCATGCATAAACAACAGTTGTTACCCAAAATTGAGATTCCCAAAAAATAAAAAATAATAAATAATAAAAGAAAAGAAAATTCTTTTTAAATTTTTTAAAATTTATATAAAAGAAAAATCTTATTGGATTTTTAAATTTTTTAATAAAGAAAATCTATTTGGTCTTTTTAATTTTTCACAAAAAGATAGAAATAAAGAAAATATTTTTTGTATTTTTGATTTTTGAATTGAAGTATAAAAACAAAAAAAATATTACCAAAATCTTCGATAGAAACTTCGATTCTAAGCCATTCTTGTTGAATGATTCAGAGCAAATGTCGGAATCGAAGAAATTCAAAGGTTTGACTGTGAACATTAATCTATGAATGGTCCAGCGTCATTGTCGACATTTAAAAAAAAGACCTTCGATATCAGAGATAAAAAATTTAGTTTGATTTTGGAACATAACAAGCTTCCATCATTCCTAATCCAACAAGTGGTTTTGTGAAAATATATGCAAGTTGATTTGTGGTATTAACAAAATGAACTTCAATATTGTCATCTTCCGCATGATATTTGATAAAATCTTATCGAAGAGAAATATGTTTAGTTTTAGAACGTTGAACTTGATTATGACTACAAATTGCACTATGAGAGTCACAAAACAAAGAAATTTTCTTCATGTTGATCGCAAAGTCAAGTAGTTGACTTTGAAAGAAGATTACTGGCAAAGTACAAGCATCAACAACAATATACTCAACATCGGTTGTAGAAATTGTTACACTTGTCTGCTTCTTCGATTGCTATTTGACAAGCTTCCCATCAAGAAATTAACAACCTTTAGTTGTACTTTTTCTATAAAGTTGACTCTCTCCCAAATCTGCATCATAAAAGGCTTTAATGAAAAATCCAATATTCGCAGGATACCAATTTCTAAGCGAACGCATTCGATATAAATATCAAAAGATATTTTTGATATCCGTGAAATGTGGTTCCCTTTGGTTTTCTTAATACCTAGCGCAACTACACACATAAAACATGATATCATGTCGACTTGCAGTTAGATATAACAAAAAAACCTATCATGCTTTGATATATATATATATATATATATATATATATATATATATATATATATATATATATATATATATATATAATTTGTCATTCCAAAGCGTGTAAGTAAATTCTTTCTGTATGAGTCTTGATTGATCAAAATGTCTTATTTGCTTTGGCGAATGTTTAAACCCAAGAACAAATTCATTTTTCCCATCATGCTCATCTCAAACCGACTTCGCATCAAATCCTGCAATTCGTTTGACAAAGTAGGGTCAGTAGAACCAAAAATTATATCATATACATAAATTTTAACAAGCATATGATGATCCCCAACTTTATTTCAAAATAATGTGGGATCAACTATTCATTGCTTAAATTTAGAGATTTTCAAGAAATTTGTTAATATTTCATACCAAGCCCTTTGTGCTTTTTTTAGACCATAAATAACCTTATCAAGGATATAGCAATGATTAGGGTAATTATCATTCACAAATCCAAGAGGTTTTTAAACATATACAATTTCTTAGAGCACACCATTGAGAAATGAACACTTAACAACCATTTGGTATACATCGAAGTTCTTATGAGTTTCATAGGCAAGAAAAATGTGAACTTGTAAAACCCCGATCTAGGTATTAATCTAAAACACGAGTTAGTGTGGAATCCTAATCAAGTGATAAACACAAAACAATAAATACAAATCAAGAACACAAACACAAATCTTCAATGCACACTATTATTAATTAATAGTCGGGTACATAAGATCAAATGATTTCTCTATACTGTTAATGCTCTCTAAATTTCTCTCTGATAAAACCAAATGACTAACTCTTTAATTGACTCACTCCCTTCACGATTGAAAATAACACATTATATACTAATACCTAATTATTAAAGCCTAGTCCAACCGAAAACATCATTAAGCCCACCGAAATCACATGGTGATTTTGGTCCAAGTACCACCGAGATCATAGTGATTTCGGTCCTAAACCGAGAACTCTAAAAGCATTGAAAAGAAAAGCTCTTTCCTCAATCTCTTCATTACTTGACTACAAGATGTACATATGAATCTTCTACATGAATAACTTCATATTTGGTAGTTGGACTTCCTTCAAAATTTGACTTTTAATACACACTG